ACAAGGAAATTGTTGAAAATATTTTCAGCTTTTCTATCCAAAATAAAGAAGTCTTTGATTAATTACTGGAAAGGGAAATTACCCATAATATTATGTAAATAGAAATATTTTCTTGTAGCCATTTCAAGAAAGTCTATAGTCTCTGTTTTTTTCTCAAAAGCAAGTTTTGCTAATTTTATTCTTTCCCAGTTTTATAAAAGTAGGTTTTTTTATTGAAACCATGCTTCTGATTAAGGAAAATAAAAGAGCCATCATAATCTTATAAAAGGACAAAAGTATTCCATTTATGTAATATGTGATATGAATTCATATAAATATAATTAAGTTGTGTAGAGGGAAGAACACCCCATGGTATGATCCAAAGCTCTGTGGAAAGTAGTTCCCCTAAGATCTCTGTAGAGACTTGAGGGAGGTGTAAGGAGAGGAAGGAAAAACATGCATGGTTGCACATTTTTAAGTCCTTTTTAAAATTTGAATTGGATTTATAAATTTACTGATGTGTTTTATCAAAGGACAGGGAAATATCCTTATAGGATAGATGCATTAAACTAGGTTAGCTCATGTACTATAGATGCACTCTCTAATTACATCGTGCAGAATATGTAGACATGCTACCATTTTGGGTAGGATTTTACACAATGCCACAGGCAATTAATTGGACCTCATGTTTTTAGAGGCATCTGATGGTCTGGTTGCACAGATTACTTAGCTTAAAAAATTAATCCTCAGTGAGACTTAGTTTTAGAAGTTTCCATCAAACATCAAAGAAATGCTTCAGTTTATTTCTCACACTGTGATCTGCAACTTCAAGAAATAGCACACTGTTAACAACAACATGTGCAAATGTGGTCTGTGTGCTGTTTGCACCGTCAGACTTACCTCTCTAAGTGCTGCTCTTACAGAGGCAAGTGAATGGAGGGTGTGGGGGTTGGAAGAGAAAAGCCAAGAAAAGCTAATGAAAAATAGAAGCTAAACAACAACAACAACAAAAATGTTAGAGTTTATGTGAAGGTACAAACTGAAGGGAGCTTTTTTGAGCAGATGATTATAGAGTTACATTTCTGGAAGGGTTCAGTTTGAGGTTCAGTTGGGTTGAGGTTAAGTGAAAGACTCTTCAGGAGAAATGAAACCTTAACATTACACCAGGCTATAAAGAAGGTGCAGATCACGGGTGTCTTAATGATACTTCATTAGCTGTGGTCAGGTCTCTAGCCTGACATCTCTTTACGCTCCCTTTCCTAAAGCTGAGTCAGGTGCCTGTGGGGTGGACACCCATTGTCCTATATTTAACCTGCAGTAAGTGGACCACATTGCTGCGAAACTGGTCTTCCTGAGTATGTCTGTCTCTGATCGTTCATATTCTACAGTGACAGAGAGGAAAACTGTATCTGGTCTTGTTTACCAGTATACTCCCATTACCTAACAAACACAAGTCTGTCACTTAGCAGTTTTCAATAAAGATTTGTTGATTCAGTGGTTGAATGAGTGGACAAATCCTGTGTACAGGATCTAACTGACGTAAAAAACTCTCCTGAGTGATCCATGATTAAGTCTAGGAACTGGAGATCTTCTGCCCCTCAGACAACTTAAGAATTTTTACTTTAAAATGGGTAGATTTATTAAAATATATTTCTGATGAGCTTTTAAAACTTGAAAATGTCACTTTTAAAATTAAGTTATTCCTGTAAAGTATATAATATATATGTGATTTGGAGAGAGCTCCAGTAGAATGATACTACTTTTTAAAACATGTAAATAGCTAGGCATGGTGGCATACATCTGACTATGTCATATACACGCATATACGTATATATATATACACGCATATATATACATACACACATGTATAATACATATATTTTATATAATTATTATATACATTATGTATTACACAGTTGAACTGAAACTTCCTAAGTGATTATTTGAGTTGGATGTAAACTGTGTCTAATCACTTGTTAACCTGGCTCTAGCCCTGTTGCCTGCATAACAGAGATATCCTTTACACAATTATTCTTAATTGTTTTATCTTTGTTAGCCTGCTGCAATGTGTTTGATTTTCATATACTTTCAACTTTTTAAATTCATATAAATTTTTTATGCAAGCACACCTTTTAAGACAGAAGAAACACTGCAAAATGCCTTCCAGGGTAGGCAGGACTCTTGTCTCAGATTCCTACATTTACAGTAGCCCTTCTAATCTGTAGTTTCACTTTCCATGGTTTTGGTTATGTGCGGTCCACAAAAATACTAAAATTCGTTGTCACTCTTTCAAGATTGTGTTCACGTAACTTCTATTGCAGTATGTTGTTGTACTTGTTCTATTTTATTGGTAGTTATTGCCTCTTACTGTTCCTAATTTATAAATTAAATTTTGTCATAAGTACATATGGAAAAAGAATGGTATGAACAGAGTGTCCACAGTTTCGAGCATTGTGGGGGTCTATCCTCTGAGGACAGGGGAACCTGCTATACTTCTTGGATAGTAAGAGGCTGAAATTTCAGACATGAAATTAGAATGAGGACGAGCACAGTGAGAGGACTCCCAAAGAAGATGGTGGTTCAGTGTCTCCAGATCCTTTAATAGTTTTGTTAGGATTTCCTTCTTCTCTCTCTGTTTTTATTTTGTTTATTCTGAAGACATGGCAACAGATGGGGAGGTGAAGCAAGGTTTCCTTTCTCCCTTGGGTCCTCTTTCCTGTGTATGTGTGAGGTTGTTTTCCCATATTTCCTTTTTGGGAAGTAAGGTGCTCCTGTCTGGAAGCCCACTTGTGACCTTCCGTTTTGGTGCTGGAAATGAGGACGATCAGAGATGTTGCCCCAAGAAAATACTGAGTTGGGATGAAAACCTCAGCAGTGGGAATAACAGTAAGATCTCTTAGCAGCCTCCTAAAGAGTATGCCTTCCCCCCTCTCCTACCTTTAGATCCAGGTCCCTTCTCCTAACCCTTTTGTCTCAAATTTCAGTGATGTTTCTTCAGAAACTAGGGTAGGTTGACAAAATGGATTTCTATACTAGTAATTTAATATTCTAACAGTATGCACAGACCTGGTCAGAAAGACATCCTATGTCTTATGATAGTTTATCACTATTAAGTTGGGTAAAGATAGCAAACATGGCCTCTCCAGGCTCTTCACAGATCATCAGTCCAGGCATCTCCCCTGTCCCCACACCTGACTCTCCTAAAAGAAGGATGGACACACAGTCCAGTGCCTTAGCTTGGCTGATCCTCACGGTTACATGCCGCCACTGTACTTTCCACCTGGTAAATTTCTACCAAACCTTAAGACCCAACAAAAATACCACATCCTCTCTCTGTTCCTGCCTCCACCCACTCATAATGTCGTCTGCTGTTTTGAGTTCTGCGTTGTCATAATCTCTTTCTCAGCACCATTACATTTTTTTAATGTTAGCATGTCTCCCCCATCAAGCTCGTGAGCTCAGTAACCCTATCATGAATAGACCATCAAGTAGAAAGATTGTAGCTTTAAAGTCATTACTGCTAAGTAATAGAATAGTTCCTGTGCGTGTGTGTGTGTGTGTGTGTGTGTGAGAGAGAGAGAGAGAGAGAGAGAGAGAGAGCACATTCATTGGCCTGAATTCCATATAGCTTTATAAAGATAAAACTGTGTTAACCAAGGCTACCTAAAGTGTAAAGAAGACTGAAAGCATTAACTATGTAGGAAGAAACTATCCTGGTTTGTAAAATTTCTCCAGCCAACCTAATACTTCCTATTATTCATTTAATATGACCAGTGATAGAGAATCATATGACAAATTATATAGACATGACTAATATCATAGTCATTGTCGGTATTTATGGCAGTTTATATTTGGTTGGCTTAATTTAAGATCATTGCCTTAGTATAGTATCTATGTTCATTTATTAAATTAATTAGGTTAATTGGAAAAAGTGCTCTTTGCTGAGATTTTCTGACTTCAGTTATTAGATTACTACATCTGTGGATATCCTTAATGTTCCAGAAAGAAGGGCTTAGGGTCAAGCAGTATTGTTGGAAGAGAAAACTGGCAACCATGTCATGATGGCCCCAACTGTGAGACTCCAGAAACATCAGTGTTCACAGTGGGGAGCCATGGGGTGTGAGTGGGTGCTGGCAAAGGTTAAAAGAGCTTGATGCTTCCTTAGCTGTCGGGGGTTTGAGGAGGTAAGGGCGACATTGGTGTGGGAGATGATCTGGAGGTGAAGGAATGGATAGTAGACAATTCAGAGGAATCGCGTACAAGGCTGGAAGACATCATCTAGAGGACTAGAATGGCTGAATAAGGCTGATGAAAGTGTAAAATAAAAATGAGCGTGTGATCATAGAAAACCCTGAGGATTTGGGCACCCACCTTGGATGGGGAAGGGAAGGTAAATTCATATTAGCCAACTTAAGGATCCTCTCTTTTGTGGTCTCTCTGTAAATACTCCTTAATGCCTTTATGAGAGGGCAGTCGAGCCACAATGGCCTGGCCAAGAGGTGACAACTTCTTTGCTCGCTTTTCTTCATATTCCTACATTTTCTGCTCAATCCTTAAAACATTCAACTGGCTACACAGAAGCGAGGAAGCTTAAGATCTTGCTCAGTCTCCTTCCTTTGTCTTCCAAAACAGTGTCACCTTACGTAAACTAAAATATTGAATTATTTTCACCTCCAACTAAAACTACAAACACTAGCCATGAGGGACTCAGAAGAGCTGGCCTGCAGGGTAGGATAGGGAAGAGGAAATGGGTGCATCACACTAAGCTGCTTTCTTTACTCTGAAGGTGTTTTGAGATTCCAGAACATTAGCAAACCTAATGTGTGTAGGTGTGGCAAGGAGCAGTATTCAAATATTTGCTTGAGAAAATAAGTACGTGTTTTTAAATCTCCTCTCAAAGCCCCCTCAGCCATGTCTCAGTGCCGTGCCAGGGTTATGCCCAAATCCTACAGCACTACTGGCTATCAACTCAGAGTTACAGTAGGCATGGTTTTTTCTGATCCACCGTTCTTTTCTTGCAGGTGCACACATCTTGACCAACTCAGAAGCAAGGTGGATTTCCTTTGTGTTTAAAGAGAACAAAAATGTGCCTGTGTCTGTAGAGATGATTTGCAGTTCAGCCCGGCTGAAGCTGACCGAATGAGACTATGGGCTGTGCCTCCGCCAAGCATGTAGCCACGGTTCAAAATGAAGAGGAAGCCCAGAAAGGGAAGAACTACCAGAATGGAGATGTATTTGGTGGTGAGTGTTGGTCCATTTGTTCTTGACTTGTTGATTCTAGACCTTTCTCTTTGGTGATGGTGGGCAATGCAGTCTTATGCCATGGAATGAAGGGGTGATAAGACCTGGTAGAAATGAATGAAAATATCTTGGATAATTGACATCATAATTTGTACACTGGGGCTTTGTAGAGCATGGAGGTTTTTATGAAGGAGTGAGCAAACAAACCAAGCTTTAAAGAACCCATAGGGTTCAAATAGGTGCATTGGATAGTGACCATGGGGTGGCCTGATGGGGGAGCACTGTAAGACTGAAAGTGGAGACCAAAGTAGAGTGAGCGAGGATTTATAAATGAGGGAGTGAGGTATGTTTTTAGGGCTAATAGAATCAATTAATTAATTAAACATTTTCATATTAAAAAATATAAATACAATGAATTTCATGATCATCTTTTAGCTTCTCTGTGATGATTCAAAGTGATTTTAGGTGGTCTAGTGCAAAGGTCACAAACTTACCATTCATAGCTACATCTGAAAATACATCTTCTTTATCTCCCTCCACCCACCAAAGAATTTTAAAATAAGAATCACAGCAGCTCTAAAAATCAGGATGTCTCAGATAAAACCCCAAATTTCTTTAGAAGTTCTGGCCATCCTGACTTTGGGGTAGCAGTAGCCTCCAGTGAACCTCTGACCCTTCTTGTGGATGCACACCAAGTCCAGGTTCCTCTCTTCCATTACCTGCCTGACCACTTACAGGCTTTTGAGTTTCCTGCTCTTGAGGCTTTTCTCCTTGAAAGATCAATTACTGCTTAGATGAAGTGGGAATGTGTGAACACAATTCCAGTTAGCATGAGGCAGTGAAGCAGGTTTTGCTGAATGGCTTTAACAATAATATCTACTACTTGACATTGCCATGGCCCTTTTATTAATGAAAACGCCTCTTCAGATGCCTCTTTACCAGTGAAGGAACCTCGTTGAGGTAATGTTTGAATTGAGTTGCACCATTCAGTCACTGTGAAGCCATTCTGTTGCTTGTCCCATGTCTTTTGATCAATTGTGATGGCTTGTTCTAGTCCCCTGGTGAAGAACTATGAATGTTACAAAAAGCCAATGTCGTGAAAAAATGTACTAGTGTGAATGAGAAGGAAGATTTTGTTTTGTTAAGGACATGTATTTGTTTCCTGGAACAAATATTTGCCTTTCATGGTGACCACCTGTAGAATTTAGAATTATGGAGAAAAATAACGGATAAAACGAGAATAAAACTAGAAACCACAGTGTCTAGGAAAACAGCTAATTGGAACTAGAGTTATTACTGTCACCCTCAAACACTTAACTCTTAAGAGATAATAATCTAACACCAGGGGTTTATTTAAACTAGTTTCTGTGTGATGATCTGTCATTATCATTTTTATGATAGAGCTGCCACCATATGTCAGACGCCGTGAGGCATTTACATTCATTTTCATGTTGAATGTTCACAACAATCCTGTGAAATATGTGCCATCCCAATTTTGCATGTCTGGAGGCAGAAGCACAGAGAGACTAGCTGGTGGAAGGTGCCGGGCTTCTAAGTGACGGCATCCACATCTCTCAGTCTTGAGTCCTCTTCTCTTTCTCCATGTTGTTTCCTGGTACCTGGCTGCCTCCCACTGGTCACTCGTTCCTTAATGCTATGTACTGGACATAAGACCTTTTGCTAAATGCCATGGAGATTATAGTGGTCAAAAATCCAAAAATCTTGCTATCTAGGACTTAAGGAAAGGATAAGGAAATGTTTCGTGGCAGAACAAGCCAACTACTGAAGAGGAAAAGAAATGCATTGTGATAAGAGTCAGGGGATAAACAGTCCAGTGTAAAAGAAATCAGCAGATTTCTCACAGAGGTAGCATCTGAACCTGGCCTTCAAAAGCTGGAAGTTTCTAAACCTGTTGAGTGAAAGGTGCAGGAGGGAACTAATAAGGAAAGGCTAGAAGTAATGGAAAACATATTTTGAATTATAAATAATTCAGTTTAAATGGAACATAAAATATAAGTGGGAGAAAATTAAGTTAGTGTTAAATTATAGAGAACTTTGAAAACCAAATAGACTATAAGAGCAAGATTTGGTGATAACCAATAGAGAATGTTGTGCTTATAGTCTGCTTAGCAATGAGGTCACCTAACCTGATTTAGTTATAACTTGTGTAGCCAGGGAGACACTGTTGTTTTAATGTACCATGCATGTTTTTGCAAATGTTAGCATCTGATAAAGGAGCTTTGAACTAGTCAACTGTTGCTGGGTGCTGGGTAACCTCGAAGTCACGGTGATGCTCAACAGTGAACGTTTCTTTCTTCGGCACCAGTTGGTGGGTCAGCAGGGGTGGCACTCCACTTATCTCTCATCTTTCTGGCCCTGGGAGCCATGAATCTGTGTGGACATGCTCTCCTTTCACAGACGGGCAAAAGTGCAAGCTATACATGGGATGCCTTTTAAGAGTGGCTTTAGACTCAGTGACATGAACAAGCCCAAAGTCAAGAGTCGGGAGAGTTCACTCTGACCACAGTGCATTCATGGCAAGGATGTGGATGCAGGGAGGCCCAAGAATTGAGGTCAGGCAGTTTATTCCAAGACTGCCTAGCTCTTGTTGTTTCTGTGGCTCCATGTAATCCATACCCCTAAAGGGGAATTAAGGACTCTGCTAAACTTTGTCTTCCCAATATTCACTGTGGTTTTGTTTACTCCTCCAGTGTTCATGGGCTTGTTAGTCGTGCTCACATAAACATTTGCAAGTTTGTGGTACAGTGTTTAAAAAAGCAGGAATACTAGGGTAGACAGAGCTTCAACAACTAATGTAGATAGATACTTTTTCTAGCTCTACCAGTGCTCTGGGAGTAGAATTGCCATACTCCAACATCAAGATAAGTGCCAGTGCTCTGGATGTTACTGACTGCTAAAGTTTAAATATGACAGGAGGTTCTACTTAAATTAGTTTGCAAGGAGAAGTTCACAAAAATCCCAAGATGATAGCAGATGAATCATAGTCTGGCTTACTTTTAACCATTTGATAGTATCTTTTGTCACCCATTGTTCTGGTGATCTGTTATTAAGTGATAAATTACTTCAAACATGCTAGCTTAAAATAGCACTGATTTATTATTTCTGACAGTTCTGTGGAATGACTGTGGTCCATCTGCTATTATCACTTGGCTCAATCATGCAGCTGAAAGTAGCTGGGATCCCAACTGGACACAGCTGTCTCCAGTGTCGATAAGACCTCTCTTCCCAGCCATGTAGCCAGACTTGTTACATGGTGGCTGTTGTCCAAGAGAGAAAGTAGAAGCTACCAGGACTTTTAAGACCTGGGCTGGGAAGTCCACGACTGTCACTTTTGCCGCATTCTGTTGATGAAAGCAAGTCACACAGCCAGCCAGGAGGCCATCTCTGAGTGTGTGCCTAGAGGGAGGAAGGGTGGGATTGTTGGGAGCCATTTCTGGAGACTGGGTACCACACCCCTTAGTAGAGGCAATTGCAACTCTACGACTGCACATACCTTTCACTAAATACAGTGGCCTCGTTCACTTTTTTAAAAACCCAATATTTTAAAATATTTGAAAACACTGTTACAACGTATTGTTGAAGACTTGACAGAATCTAGGAGAGGCAGCATTTTTGGGGATGGCCCTGTGTGTGACTGCATGCACGCACATTCAATTATTTTCTTAAAGATGTTAATGTCATAGTTTTTGAAGACTTGCTAAAGGGCTTTGGTTCATGGTGCCTTTATACAAATGCTGGTTTTTGTGTCTGTGAGGCAGCTTGGTCTCCATGATGCTTGGGTTATTTAGTAGATGGACCACTCCAAATGTGTGTGACAGAATTTCTGTAGAATATCCCATTCCATGTCAGATGGGAATCTTGACATCTGGATTTCAGAGAATTTAAGATGTCCTTGATGAGAAACTTTACCACTGATATTTACCTGTACAATTTTCTTTCATTTTAAATGCTGAGGCATAAAAAGTTTCAGATCTAAAGTTCTACCTTATACTGGATGGTCCCTTTAGAAGTCAAATCCTACTAGAAGGATCCATTTCCATACTGGAAATTTCCTTCCCTCAGTGGTCAGGGTGTTCAGCAGATCTGAGGAGATCATTCAGAGAACAGGGGGGCACATTGCCAAAACCAGCTTGCAAAAATAAATGACCAACAGGTTCAAGTGATCTTGAGCTAGTTAAGCAAGTTGTAAGGAAAGCCAAGGGCATATCTGAGTTCTTTCAACAGTCATTCACTTAAATTGTTGAAGTAGAGCAGACTCAGGTCTTACGAGGGAAATTAACATGTCAAAACCTGAGACCATTATCTCTTTTTTTCCCACTGGGGGAAACCTCATCTAGATACATTGACTTTCCCATTTGGACTTTTCCCATTTCCATTTTCCCAGGAACGCAGGCTTTCAATTTGAGTCACTTTGTGTTGCTACAGTTTCTCAGACCTTTGAGTCTCACCCTTTCCTCCTAGTGTCCCTCTCCCTCCCACTCCCACCGTGTAGTTACTATAGCCCCTCACTCACCTGGAAGATTGCAGTGCCCTCTGAGCCATCCTGTGTGGTTTCAGTTCCTGCTTGATTTTTTAAATTTTGTTTTGCTTGCTTATTAACTGCATTTTTGCACCACTGGCGGATTGATTTTTCTAAAGTGTTCTTCTGTTGATGTTAATTCTTCTGCTCTAGAACTTACTTTGTGCCCAGTGCTTCAACAATAAAATCCCAAATCCTTAGTCAACATTCAGGAAATCTGAAGACAGTTCATAAGGTCCTTGGTGGCCTTATTTCCTACTCTGTTTCTTCTACCAGACTGGCAACTCACCCTTGTGACCTTATCCCACATAGGCCCCCTGCCATTGTAACCTCTACTGGACATGGGCCCTTTCTCCTGCTTTTGTGTCTTTTAAATCCTGCTTGTATTCTTAATGAAAACTGTTTTATAAAGCCTTTTCTAATACCTACAGAAACTTTTCCCTTTCCTGCCATCCCAGAA